TAGCAGTGTGTAATGTGTATGGGAATGTATGGTGTGGCTAATAAAGTACTTGGGGTCATACAAAGGAGTGTTAGTTACAAGACTAGCGAGGTTATTCTAAAACTATATCTTGCGCTTGTGAGACCTCACTTGGATTACGCAGTTCAGTTCTGGTCACCGTATTACAGAATGGATATAGAATTCCAAGAAAGAATTCAGAATGACAAGACTAATCCCGGGCATTAGGAACCCTGAGTACGGAGACAGGTTACACAGCGGATTTTCACTTCCTCGAGAGACGTAGAGTGAGGGGCGATATGATAGAGGTGTATAAGTGGAAGTCAGGGCTGCTAAGGTGATAAAACTATCCAACCAGGAGCGAACTCGTAACAATCGTTTAAATTAGACAAATTTAGATTTAGGCGCGATATAGGTGAACACTAGTTTGGAAACAGAGTAGTGGATGACTGGAACAAGTTACCAAACATCATCACCTACTCGAATACGCTGGATAGCTTCAAACATAGGTTGGATGGATATATGAGCGATAGGGGTTGGGTGTAAATGGGACTGCCCAGTATGGACCAATAGACCCGCTGCAGTTTCCTCCATTCTTATGTTCTTATACGTCTTTGTACAGTGTTTAAGTGAACGTATAGTGTATAAATGACCGTACAGTGTATAAGTGAACGTACAGTGTATAGGTGAACGTATAGTGTATAAGTGAACGTACAGTGTATAAGTGAACGTATAGTGTATAAATGACCATACAGTGTATAAGTGAACGTACAGTGTATAAGTGAACGTACAGTGTATAAGTGAACGTATAATTGTATAAATGACCGTACAGTGTATAAGTGAACGTACAGTGTATAAGTGAACGTATATTATAAATGACCGTACAGTGTATAAGTGAACGTACAGTGTATAAGTGAACGTATAGTGTATAAGTGAACGTAGTGTATAAGTGAACGTATAGTGTATAAATGACCGTACAGTGTAAGTGAACGTACAGTGTATAAGTGAACGTATAGTGTATAAATGACCGTACAGTGTATAAGTGAGTACAGTGTATAAGTGAACGTATAGTGTATAAATGACCGTACAGTGTATAGTGAACGTACAGTGTATAAGTGAACGTATAGTGTATAAATGACCGAGTGTATAAGTGAACGTACAGTGTTTAAGTGAACGTATAGTGTATAAATGACCGTACAGTGTATAAGTGAACGTACAGTATAAGTGAACGTATAGAATTATAAGTGAACGTACAGTGTATAAGTGAACGTATAGTGTATAAAATACCGATATATAAGTGAACGTACAGTGTATAAGTGAACGTATAGTGTATAAGTGAACGTACAGTGTATAAGTGAACGTATAGTGTATAAATGACCGTACAGTGTATAAGTAACGTACAGTGTATAAGTGAACGTACAGTGTATAAATGAACGTATAGTGTATAAATGACCGTACAGTGTATAAGTGAACGTACAGTGTATAAGTGAACGTATAGTGTATAGTGAACGTACAGTGTATAAGTGACCGTACAGTGTATAAATGAACGTACAGTGTATAAGTGAACGTGCAGTGTATATAAGTGAACGTATAGTGTATAAATGACCGTACAGTGTATAAGTGAACGTACAGTGTATAAGTGAACGTATAGTGTATAAATGACCGTACAGTGTATAAGTGAACGTAGATTAAGTGAACGTATAGTGTATAAATGACCGTACAGTGAATAAGTGAACGTACAGTGTATAAGTGAACGTAAAGTGTATAAGTGAACGTACATTGTATAAGTGAACGTACATTGTATAAGTGAACGTACAGTGTATAAGTGAACGTACATTGTATAAGTGAACGTACAGTGTATAAGTGATACATTTATAAGTAACGTACAGTGTATAAGTAACGTACTGTTATAAGTGAACGTACATTGTATAAGTGAACGTACATTTATAAGTGAACGTATAATGTGAATAAGATAATCAGTGAAATAAAACGAGACGTCGGGTTGGCCTGGGAAAACTAACCATCGACAAACAAACAAACAAACAACAAACAAAACACACACACACAAACCACACACACACACACACAACAAACACACACTATAATAAAAGAAAATAATGTCGTTGATAATAATGGGCAAAAGTCGCGTCTCGTGTTAAGGTTTCAGTGCGGTAAAAACCCTTTAGACGTCTCCTCATCTCCTCCTTTTGGGCAGCTCGTGTCTGTCGTTCTAAACACAGCTCTAATGGACGACAACTTCTCAATTCCGACCCAAATTTTCAGTATTTCTTGGAGGAGTTCCTTTGATATAACCGCTTTGGTGCGTGGCGTCTGTATGTCTGTCTGTTTATCTGTCTGTCTGTCTGCTATAGGATTGGCACAACCACTTTGATGCTATTTGATAACAACGTTCAACTGCGTTCCTTGTGCCGTATACGGTGTTTCATTACGTCATGCGTCTGTCTGTCTGTCTTTCCGTCGTCTGTCTGTCTGTCTGTCTGTCTGTCTGTCTGTCTGTCTGTCTTTCCGCCGTCTGTGTATGTATAATAATATATAATAATTAACGGTTTACTGAAAAGTTTAGCAGCCCGAAGGATGAAAATATACATTGGACAGAAGTGACTTATCATACAAAAGACATGGGGTGGGTGGGTCGTTTAACAAAAGCTTCCATTACTGAAAGGAAAGGAACAGGATTTGAACATACAAATTATTATCATTTACAGTTGATGACCCAGGCTGGTCTTTTGCCATACTGCGTGGTCACGTAGGCCACAGGTGTAGTGACTCGTCCGTAGATGTTGATATACGAAAATAAGAACATGAGAAAATAAGGAGTCTGCAATAGGCCGGTTGGCCTGTGCATGGCAGCTCCTGTCGAGAGTTACTACCACTCTCTATCATCCATGAATCTATCTAGCCTCCTTTTGAAACTTTCCAGAGTTCCAGCACTACAAAGTTGCTAAGTTTGTTCACTCGTCCACCACCCTATTTGTGAACCAGTTCCTTCCTATCTCCATCCTAAACCTAAACTTATCAACTAAATCCGTTGCTACGAGTCCTATCCTGCTCGGATATTATAAGAACTTTATCTATATATCCTTTATTGATTCCTTTCACCCACTCAAATACTTCTATCAAATCTCCCCGCACTCAAGTGGTCATGGAGACATCGGGTTGGGTGGTGGGTGTTCATGCAGTGTGTGTGTGTGTGTGTGTGTTTCAGCATACTCGCCTCAATATATACGGGCCTGGGTTGATCCCCGAGCTGGGTGAAACCATGGACAAGTTTCTTTACGCCATTTACCTGTGTCTCCAGCAGGCAGTAATTAGGAACCAGTGAATGTTAATTAACGTTTTTTTGCGGCTCGTGTTCCGGGGTAATAGTTATCCAGTGCAATTGGTGATATGTCCGGTCTCCTGATACACCTCGTTAACTCAGGGTTTGGTGGTTGTTTCGGCTACCTTCTCTACTCTCCTTTCGCTTGTTCGCCTCAAAAAAAAAAAAATACGCATTGATGACCTTCCGTCGGCCAGCCGACATGAAAGGCAACCGTCATCATCATCATTATCATCATCATCATCATCATCATCATCGTCATTATCATCATTATTAAGTAGAGACCAAAATTTTTCCTTTTAGTATTTGTGATTTTTTTGAGAAGACAATAATTATATATCACAATACTACCTCTCCTTCCTCTCCTCCTCTTAAGTCTTCCCCTTCCTCCTCCTATTGGTCTTATTCTTCTTCCTCTCCTCATTCCTCTTACTCTTCTTCCTCCTCTTATCATCAGTCACCTCCTCTCCCCTCTCTAACAATGTGTCTCCCAGGTCCAACAACTAAGAAGAGAGTGGAGGAGCAGAGGAAAGGAGGAGGAAAAGGAGGAGCAGAGGAAAAGGAGGAGGAAAAGGAAGGAGCAGAGGAAAAGGAGGAGGAAAAGAGAGGAGGAGGAAAAGGAGGAGGAAGAGGAGGAAAAAAGAAGGAGGAGGAAAAGAAAGAGGCATCAAGAGAGTTACTGTCTGTAGTATTGGTTCCCTCGTGTAGCAGGGGGTAAGGTGAGGGTGGGTGAGGAGGGGGTAGGTGGGGTTGGTGAGGAGGGGGTGGTGAGGAGGGGGTAGGGTGAGGTGGGGTGAGGGAGTGGGGTGAGGGGAGGTGGGGTGGGGAGAGAGGGGGAGTAGGGTGAGGGAGGGGGAGGGGTAAGGTGAAGAAAAGTAGGTGGAAGGTAAAGTCAGTGAGGGAGAGAGGGGGTGGAGGTTAAGGTGAGGAAGAGACCAGGTGTGTTGTGTTGCCAAATGCGTCTCGTCACAGGTGTGGACTCGCCGTAAACATCTGTGACCCAACCTACAACCTGTATTATCACTGCACCACGGCGAGGCAGGGGACCACAGTGGCTCAAGGCAGGGGACCACAGTGGCTCAAGGCAGGGGACCACAGTGGCTCAAGGCAGGGGACCACAGTTTCAACAGGGGACCACAGTGGCTCAAGGCAGGGGACCACAGTGGCTCAAGGCAGGGGTACCACAGTGGCTCAAGGCAGGGGACCACAGTGGCTCAGCAGGGGACCACAGTGTCAAGGCAGGGGACCACAGTGGCTGAAGTCAGGGGACCACAGTAGCCTCAAGGCAGGGGACCACAGTTGCTCAAGTCAGGGGGACCACAGTGGCTCAAGGCAGAGGGACCACAGTGGCTCAAGTCAGGGGACCACAGTGGCTCAAGTCAGGGGGACCACAGAGAGCTCAGGTTCTCAACTGGCTCAGCCATGTTAATATTGTTATTATTATCCACTCTGTATCTGTATTTTCTGGCTAAATAAACTGTTACAATTCATTCAATTCAATACAGTGGCTCAAGGCAGGGACCACAGTGGCTCAAGGCAGGGGACCACAGTGGCTCAAGAGGAGTCGTATAGCATCATTAACCCTAAATCAACTACAGCGACTACAGTGATGAAGACGTAATTGGTTTAAGTGATTTAGAAAATGTCTGGATGATTTTTTTACTGTCAAATTAGTGAAGAGATTCATTTTAGAAGGCATGAGCAAGTTGATAGTGGGGCCAGTTGATAGTGGGGCCAGTTGATTGGGGCCAGTTGATAGTGGGGCCGGTTGATGGGGGCCAGTTGATAGTGGGGCCAGTTGATAGTGGGGCCAGTTGATAGTGGGGCCAGTTGATATGGGGCCAGTTGATAGTGGGGCCAGTTGATAGTGGGGCCAGTTGATAATGGGGCCGGTTGATAGCAGGGCCAGTTGATAGGGAGCAAGTTGATGTGGAGCAAGTTGATGTGGAGCAAGTTGATAGTGGGGCCAGTTGATAGTGGGGCCAGTTGATAGTGGGGCCGGTTGATAGTGGGGCCAGTTGATAGTGGGGCCAGTTGATAGTGGGGCCAGTTGATAGTGGGGCGTTGATAGTGGGCAGAAGGGGCAGTTGATAGTGGGGCCAGTTGAATGATAGTGGGGCCAGTTGATAGTGGGGCCGGTTGATAGTGGGGCCAGTTGATAGGGGCCGGTTGATAATGGGGCCGGTTGATAGCAGGGCCAGTTGATAGTGGGGCCAGTTGATAGTGGAGCAAGTTGATAGTGGAGCAAGTTGATAGTGAGCAAGTTGATAGTGGCCAGTTGATAGTGGGGCCAGTTGATAGTGGGGCCAGTTGATAGTGGGGCCAGTTGATAGTGGAGCAAGTTGATAGTGGAGCAAGTTGATAGTGGGGCCAGTTGATAGTGGGGCCAGTTGATAGTGGGGCCAGTTGAATGGGCCGGTTGATAGGGGTTGATAGGGCGGTTGATAATGGGGCTATACACCAGGATAGGCCAGTTGATAGGAGCAAGTTGATAGTGAGCAAGTTGATATGGGGCCAGTGATAGTGGCCAGAATGGGCAGGATAGGATTAGCGGGCCAGTTGATAGCGGGCCAGTGATAGCGGGCCAGTTGATAGCGGGCCAGTTAATAATGGGGCCAGTTGATAGCGGGGCCAGTTGATAATGGGGCCAGTTGATACGGGGCCAGTCCGTAGCGGGGCAATTCATAATAGCACCAGTTCGTAGCGGTGCCATATAGGTAAAACAAATCAAAATGGCGACGAAATTACACGTAGCCTCAACCATAATTACATACCTGTAGACCTTACGACAGGAAGATGGCGACATGAAGAGAATATAAACGATAAAGGAAATATTAATCACTGAGCACACGTTACTTGTCCTTTTGTGTTTGTGTGTGTGTGTGTGTGTGTGTTGTGTGTGTGTGTGTGTGTGTGTGTGTGTGTAGAGTAATCGAACCAATTCACCATCACATTCGAAGATAAACCTCTCTCTCTCTCTCCTCCTCCTCTCTCCCCTCTCTCTCTATTATCCTCCAGAATGTATCTTTAGAGAGGTCGTGATGTCAAACTACCCAGGCGCCTCTCTCTCCTGCAGAAGGAAATAACCTGTCGCTAAGTTTGTGCCTTGGCGGAAGTTGTTGACATCGCCTCCTTCACCCACTCACTCGTTCAGTCAGTTACTCATTCACTCACTCACCCACTAACTCAATCACTCACCCACTCACTCATTCACTCGTTCAGTCAGTTACCTATTCACTCGCTTATTCGCTCACTAACCCACCCACCCACCAAATCTAACTCTCACCACCCAACCCACCCACTCACCACCCAACCCACCAACCAACCCACCCACCTCGGAAGGTTGATGTCCAACCCAACCAACCCAACCTCCAATATTAATGTTTCTTAACTCGTACAGCCCAGAGGAGAGTTGCTTAATCCTTTTGTGTGTGAGACAGGAAACCACTGACAATGACGATGACGATGATGATGATAATGATAATAATAATAATAATAAAATAATAATAATAATAATAATAATACAACACAATTACAAGCCTAAACACTACAACTCACAACCCAACCTAACATACAGTACCTACACTATAACCAGTAACTCTTTAATTAATTCAGTAACTCTTAATTAATTACCCTTACAACAAAACCAAACCATCAGGACAATTAAGACACACAACACCAATCTAATTAACCCAAGGCTAAGATAATTAATCGCCAATATACAGTATATTAATTACAATCCATTATTATTATAATTATTATTATTGTTGTTGTTTTATATCAATATTTAATAATGTATGAATATTACTTATTATTATTATTATTATAAAAAAAAAAATATTACTTATATTTATATTAAAAAAAATATTACTTTTATTATTTTCACATTATTATTATTATTATTATTATTATTATATTATGACTTGTTTTGTTGTCGTTATTGTTATTATTAATCTTTAGTATTGTTATTAATATTACAACAATATCACCACAGTTAGTAACTAGTACAGAAGAGTTACAGAACTAGTACAGGAAATATACTACAAGTGCTGGGAGATCGTTCCCTGACGTTACAGGAAGTCAACAAGTTACGTTCCAGTTGATCGCCGAGGATAGTGACTCACCATCATAACTGTACTTATTCTTACTCATCACCATCATCATCACTATACATAACCATCACAATCATCAGTGCTGTCCTCAACCATCACCACAACCACTATAGTAATCAACCACCATCATCACCACCACTATAGTAATCAACCACCATCATCACCACCACTATAGTACTCAACCACCATCACCACTACGGTACTGAACCACCATCACCAACACTATAGTACTCAACCACCATCACCACTACGGTACTCCACCACCCCCCACTACTCCACCACCAACACTATAGTACTCAACCGCCATCACCACCACAGTACTCCACCACCAACACTATAGTAATCAACCACCATCACCAACACTATAGTACTCAACCACCATCACCACTACGGTACTCCACCACCATCACCACCACTACTTCATCACCAACACTATAGTACTCAACCACCATCACCACCACAGTACTCCACCACCAACACTATAGTACTCAACCATCATCACCACCACTATAGTAGTACTCAACCACCATCACCACTATAGTACTCAACCACCATCACCACTACAGTACTCAACCACCCACCACCACCAACAACAACCAATCACTTTACAGGTATTACCAACTACATTCACCAACCAATGAGCTGGAAGAGTTCAGAGTTCAGTAATTACCGCCAACATAACCAGGGGACCGTTCCGCCAAATTAGGTTCGCTGTAAAACATTCAATCTGGAATTTCGGCAATGGGAGAAATTGCGAGCGTGGTAAAGGTGCAGCAAACTAACGGTAATACCTGTACACATGCAACAGTAAACAGACTAAAACAACAACAACAATAATAACGTGTGGTGGTAGTAGCTCACGGCAGCCTCACCGACCACATAATAGCTCAGAACGCAACAGGTGAGGTGGATACCAGCCAAGTAAACATGATTCGACGGTCCATTATGACAGAAAGACAGCACGGCCAGTGATAAGTTGCAGCAACTGTTGCTGCAAGTACCAGAGAATTTGAAGAAAAAAGTAGCTCTAGCTAAGGAGATGGGCGCTCGAACTGGTTAACTACGTTACCGATGAGGGAAAATGTTTCAGTCTTAACAAACAAGAATTTACAGACGCCATTGCTCTAAGGCAGTGTTTTTCAAACTTTTTACTGCGACCCACAGCCAGAACAACAATTTGAATTGTCACCCATTAAACCTAAGTGTAATGATATGAAATGAGTAAATCAAAGACAAACACTGACATGAGAGGTAAAGAAAGAATCAGGAATGCTCCTTGCAGTCGCTTCCTAGACTGTGGAGTGTACATTACAATAACCAAGCCTAAATTATGGTGCATTTATTTTTATTTTCTTATTTATTTTCGTGACCCATTTTTATTTTGCGACCCAATTTATTTATTTCATGACCCACTAAAGGGTCGGGACCCATAGTTTGGAAAACCCCTGCTCTAAGGTACGGTCGGCCAGTAGAAGGTTGCCTCCCCAATGGGTGTGTGTCTCAACCTATGACGTCGACCACGCCATGGTGCAAGAAAGGACTGCGTATGCATGAGGCACGACGAAGTAAGGGATCTCACTGCAAATTTGTTGAAGGAAATCTTGTCATGATGTCAGGGTAGAACCGACCTCTTTCGACTGGATGGTGAGAATTTCAACATAGGACTTCAAACACATCCAACGAAGCCCGTGTTGACGTCAGTACTATGGAATCTGGACGCGGGGACTGAGAGCCTCTTCGACATAAGGATTTTTGATCCCATGGCCGCATGTCACCGCAACCTGCTCGATGTTGCACACAGGAGGAACGAGAACGACAAGATTAGATCAATGGGGAGAGAATTCAGAGCAATGATCAAGGCTGCTTCACCCCCTCTGGTGTTCACAACCCCTGGTGGATGGGACCAAGTGCAAGATATCTATGCCAGACTCGCGGAGGTGATATCCGAACAGAAGCAGCAGCCCAGTTGTTACAGCCTGGTTGAGATGTCGACCGTTCTCCCTCTACTTAGGTCTGCTTTGCTTGCCTCAGGTAGAGCATCAGCCCCAAAGCCGACAACAGCTGCAGATATACAGGTAGACTACGAGACAACAGTCACTGAATGCCGCATAGATCTGTGACTCAACTAACTCAACACAGCTAGGTAGCTACATATGTATAAGGATAGTTAATTTTGGTGCACAAAAATAGCGGCAAAGGTGTGGCTATTAGGGAGGCTGGAGGCCAAGAAAGCATATAAAATAAATTAAATTATATATGTAGTAGTAATAAAACTCTCCTATAGGCACCTCCCTATATTTAGATTTCAAGTTTGCTCCCCACAAGCGCGTGAAGCTAGTTAATTGACACCTCCTGAAACCATGTGCAAGAAGTGCCAGAGCATTACAGCTCCTCTGTGAACAAGGTTATCACCTGCATCTTTAAAACAAATGACCGTCGACAGGCGACATCTGAGCAGCAAACTACAAGAAGACAGTCAACAACTCGCTAGCCTTGAAATCGTATGGAAGCCGTGGACCTGCTGGCAGTGTCGGTACTCGTCGACAAGGGCTTCTCTGTCAACTACACCACCTCCACACTGCTCCTCCACACACAACCACGACCTCAGCGTCCCTCTAACTGACAGTCACGCCCTTCCAACCACCTCACCTGGATCCAGACGCCTAATCTCCAGTCGATGACCCCAAGAATCGTTTATTGACCTCATAATTAGCCCACCTGGACAGAGTTAGTCTCCCCACGGCCAGCCCACCCTACAGGTGTGAAGGTGCTCACCCAGAACAACGGTATTAGGCGATAAATACGCTGCCCCATAACTTATACCCACACAGGAAACATTAATGTGATGCCCCTCCAGGAAACAGGTGCCTCTGCAGGTACCCTTGACCTCAGTCGTAGAAACTCTCCACTCCTGCCTCTCGCCCTGACGACCTGTAGTAGAGACACGCCCAAGGGCTTCACGCCTCAGTCAAGGGGACTCCCCTTCTATCTCACTGCACTGCACTCCACAGACAAGTCCAGCCTTTAATTTCCTCAGGGATCTACCACACTTCCTCAACAGTTGAACCTGTACAAGAATTCCTCCTCTACGTACACTTTCATCATTCTATTTATATTATTTGTTGCTTTCGTCCGTTTATCGCTTAAGTCTACGAAAGGAAACATGTACCGTGCTTGTAACCTTCCCTTTTGCGGTGCCTGTACAGTATTGGCCTTACACACGATACAAGGAGGTGCCTAATAAAACCCGGCCCCCGCGTCTCTGTGTGGCGCACCTGATAAAAATCTGAAATCCGAGACCAATATCAGGCCAGTAGAACTACCACCCTGCTCCTCAACCAAAGACAGCTTCCCTAGTAAACTAAATAATAATGATGATTATATTAATTGTTATACATTATTGTTTATTATTATTATCAAAAAAAATTATTAATTGTTATTATTATTAATATTATTTTTATTATTATTATATTATTATTATTATTATTATTATTATTATTATTATTATTATTATTATTATTATTGCTGTAATATTAACACAACATCTTACTTTAGAATAGACAAAGAACTAGGTCTCAAATTATTAAAGTCATAACAGCCC